ATGTTCCCGCGAAGCGTAATAAATATTGTTGCATGGCAAAATGATACGACATGTTATATTTAATGGCAGTCCTGTTTTCAAATTCACGTACTCTCAAAAACTTTTGATTATAAATTTCGTCCCTGTTATCTCGTCTAAGGATTTACATGTGCGATTAGGATTTATATTTGCGATTAATTGTAACGTCATGTTATTTAATGGCAATCCTGTTTTAATATTCACGTACTGTGAAAACTTTTGATTACATTTGTAAATTTTGTCTCTGTTATCCCGTAGAAGAATTAAAATTTGCGATTAGGATTTGTATTCGCGATTAATTGCAATCTTCGCTCGCACGTGATTAAATTTCGCGGTTGGCATTCGATGTTTTTAAATATTTTTCGATCAATTGCATGGCGAAATCAACGGTCCAGGAATAACATTCCTAAAAATGGCTTTGGAAAAAGAAAGTTGTTTGCGGCAAAGCAGAGAATAAATATATTCTCAACGCTACCGAATACCAATAAGACGCAGATTCGTTGGCAACGGAAAAGATTTCATTGTCTGTGTGTATGTGAATCATTAGTACTTGTAGGAGGTTGTGGATCTTCCTGTGATACTTTCAACAATGATGCTCAGGTTTCTGTATGTTTTCATCGTACGACGGTAGCATAATTCGGCGAGCTTCATAATAAAGCGCTACCGTAAAGCTCCGTTGTCGCAAACAGCAGCTGCTTATACCGTCTATAGACTCTATAGGCACTCGTTATATTCAGCCCGACGACACCCGTCACCATTGTTCTCAGCAACATCGTCGATCGGGAGTGGCATGTTGGCTCTATTCTTAACCCGTCAAAGAAAATAGACATTTCAGCGAGATTCTTAGCAGGCGATAAATTAAACACGTGTCTCGTTATATCCTCATTAAACATCTGCCTCATTCATCCGTGAAGCCCGAGCATCTGTGAGCCTCTTTTACAAAAAAAAAAAAAAAAACATGGAGTCAAAATTCCGCGATCGGTATCGAAGAGAATTTTGCGAATGTTTTGCAATCCTTTTGTAATGTTTGTAAATTTACAATACGACATTGATTCTAAATAGCCTTGAAACGTGAACCGCCCGACGGTCGATGGTTCTATTTCACGAATTCGTCGAGGCTAAAGTTATCGCGGTTCGGCGGGTTGGAACGAATTTCGATCGTTCTCAATTAAAATCCAATTAAGAAGTTTTCGTAATAGGTGATGCATCGGTCTCGCGGGCCTCGTGGAATAATTTGCGGTGTTAAAATAAATGCGAACGCGCGGATGTCGCGGGCAAGAAGTATATTGGGATTGGATTTCTCGTGCGTCGATTCTCTGGGCAGAGAAGCGCTTTAGGCGTACACCTATTCGCAGGTGCACCTGTATACCAGGGTGCTCGGGCAAGTTCCGCCGAAACAATTCTCGCTGGCGCTTCCTGCGCGCGCGAAGTTCGTAGATATTTCATCGCATTGGTTTCTACCGTCAGGCCATCGTGCATCGGGGTTAACCGACCTCGTTAATGTTCGTTCAAGCCAGCAAGTATGCGCGTTGTTCCGCCTTTCATAACTTCCTATCCCCCTTTCCACTTCGCTTTCTGTGCGCTTTGCCTCGCTCGTGGTATTAATCTCGGGCGTGGATGCGACGCAATTAAGCGTGCGTATAGCTGCGATTTTGTTCCGACTTGAGACTTGTGCAAATCGGGTTCACGTAACAATTAACTCGATAACTTTGAATGATATACCGATATTAAGGTCACGTACAATAGATATATGTGAGAAAATCGAAAAGTATAGCATGACGTTTAATGCTTTCATATATGTATGGAATTGCAATAATGTTTCTGTATTATCTGTAATTTATATCCTATTGTTGGCTGTAACGTGAGCTCTAAATGTAGTTGTATACTTCAAATAAGATTCGTTGTATTTCATATTTGACGAAAAACATTTTACCCTTTGCGTCATGACAGGACTCTCAGCGTCCTACCTTTTTCCGCTCAGTTTTTAATTATTTTGATGAATTTCTTGACGTTAAGTATTGGTTTTTTTTTGTTTTCGTAGCCTCCTTAGAACATGAATAAGTATTAAAAAAAGTAAGCAATTAAAATTTTAATTGCGTAATTATTATAATTAAGCAAATATAATTAAAATTTGTTCTTTTTTTTCGAAAAAAAAAACATTTTCTACATATTAAACTATTACCAATATCAAAACGGTAATTTAGGCACTTATTTAAACTATTCTAAAATATTTTTCGAAATTTTTTCTGATTTTTTGCTATGTTATTTTTCATTATAAATTGATAATATTTGAGAAATATGAAAAAAAATCGATATTTTCTACTGTAAATCCAAATAAATGGTTCGAATATCTCTTATAACGGTGTTCTAAAAGTTTTTTGGATCACTGAATCCTAATCTGAGATCAAAATTTTCAAATTAAATTCAAAATGGCGGAATCGGTATTATAATTATTTGAATTATTGGTCCGCCATATTAGATCAATCATTTTAAATTTTAAAATACTAGCTTCTGATTCGTAATCAGCGACCCGAAAAATTCCTCTTACAAAGTAAGTTTTCAAAAAAATCGGTTTGACACAAAAATTCGTGACACAAAGGATTAAGAATGTACACACGGTTACCATCGGGGAATTTTGATTTATCGGTCAAATTGATATTTTATTGTGTGCAGGAAAAATTTGGCTCGAATAGCAATAACTTGTGTATTGCGTACTCGAATTACACTGTCGTGCGGAATTTGATAAAGCATTAGACTGCTCCGAAAGAAAAGTGCTCACAAAGTCGACGCACGTTGAAAAGGTCGACAAACTAGATGCGAAGTTGAAAGGCACCGCCGATGTGTTGGGCGGAAGGGTTTTTCATGTCCCGGCATTATCGGATAGAGCTCTTGGCAAGACTCCCCCCTTGATCGAACTGCAAAATGACTGAAGAAAGAGGTCGGAGTTTAGTGATCGAAAATGCGGGCTCTCTACTGAGGTTTTTCACAAGTAAGCGGGTCGACGCGCGCTCTTGCGTATTCCGGTGCATCTCCCGGAAGTGGATTAACAACAGCAATAGAATACAAGAGCGATCGTTAAAATGGTTATGGCCTAGAGGAATATAGAGCCTGGAATCTTCTTTTATTCGATTACATTTTCCGTGGATAAGTTACAATTATTTCTTTTTTTCAATATAATATATGGAATGTACTTAGGGAAATAACGCGGCTTTATTGTCTCGCATACAAAACACGTGCGCCACGGATGTCTTTTATTTTGAGCCGGCCCGTAATGTATTCGAGGGTTATCGGGATCGTGTTATTGGGGCCGACGTTTGGAACGCATTCCGAACGTTTCCTTGAGGGAAATACTGAATGACGAACGTGTATTATGGATGGAGCGTTGTACGAGAATTCGATCGCTAATGGACGATGCATTTGCGGTGGGGATTCCTATCGATTAATATCAAGGCGAATGAGCGAAATCAATAGAATTATTCGTGTCGCAAGCATTAATCGTGATGTGCCCCGATGGCGAATCTAATTGCGCACGCGGGAGAATAATGCACGCCTGTACCTACGTGCGCGCTCCGTACTCGTCCGGTTTTCGTATCCGATGGCGAACGATTAGCACATGCAGCGTGGCACGCAACGGAAAGATAATTCTCCATTGTGCTCCGATATCGGTACATATATTGCTATTAAGCCTCATTATTTGCCCATACCGTTATACCGCAATACCCGCGCTTGTAATCAAAGCGCGTGACACTCTAAACGCGCTGCAAATTATTTTGTTTTGCCTCGTGCATTATGCCCGTTATTATTTACGTGTTACACATCACCTCGCGTAATGTTAATTCGATCAATTTGAACACCCATACGATCGATTTTTGTAACACTCGCTACACGGCGGACCTCTTCCTACCACGTCGCGCCGTTCGTTCGGTCATATCGCTCCAATTATTATTGGCCTCTACTACCGTTACCGGGTTATAATGGTTTCGATACATTTGGCACTGAGCACACTAGTCGTGGCTGCCAATTAGTATCGATAGTCCCGCGTCTCGGGACCGTAGTCCACCAAGCGTTGCTGCGCCACGTGCTGTACATCCGCGTATCGATCGCATTCATTACACTCGCTTATACGCACTTATACAATGCTCCCAAATCTTACACAAGATCAACGTTTGTTTCACTTTCACAAACTGTTTTACTACCGTAGAGATTCAAAATTTATAAAACAGAAAAAATAGAAGCTCACTTTAAACGATTTATATATTTGCGTCAGAATTCCAGAAATAGAATTCTGTTTATAATCTTATATTACAATACAAAAAAAAACATTTTAAGAATCGGAAAAAATATATACAGATTTAAAATATATGTATACTAAAATTGACACGTATACATACATTCTGAAATGAAAAGTTCGAATTATTACAGCATTCAAATAATATACTCGATATTTTAGAATTATTGATAACGAGATGTATTGTCAATTTAACTTTTCTAACAGAATAGATGTGTTTGCAATTCTAATAATGCGATTCGATAGCACAGAATCTCCTCATCTACATGCGCGTGTTAGTAAAGTTACACAATCCTAGTGCAGACGTTGATTTCCGTTTCACACATCGCACACATCGGTCGGACATTGCGGGACGTCATTAAAGTCGCATATCCACGTACAAACATATACACATAAGTCTGTTATACACACACACACACACACAACACACACACACACACACACACACACACACACACACACACACACACACACACACACATGCAGGTCCTTCTAATGTAGGACGCAGCCGGCAAAGCTAAATTTAGGATAAGATGCAGCAGTCGAATTTCGAAGCGTGCTCACGCTTGTCGCTAGCGGGTCGACCGTCGAAGCGATTTTTTTTTTCATTTCGCGAATACCCCATCCTCAGTCGCGAAAACCCTTTGATCTGTCCGCAGAGATTCGCCTCGGAAAGTGCAAAGAGAGAGAGAGAGAGAGAGAGAGAGAGAGAAAGAGGGGAGGGAGCGACTCATCTTCGTCAACATCCGCGATGGCGGGGAAATCGGCAGGGTTCGCGTTCCCGTTAATCTCCACGTGTCACGTGTCGTCAAACGCCACGTGTTATAAGCACGACAAATAAATACAAGTCGCTAGGCGGATTGCCAAGATTGTTGTTAATTTTGAGAATGTATATAACGCCGTCGCAACGTTGCATAGAATTTTGGATTATAAATTGAAACAGGGAATGACAACTCGCCGCAGCCGCGCGGAATGTAAATCATGGATTGGTTCGCGACTGATTGGTTGTGCGAATTTAGTGATTGTTGTGACAACGTAATATATCAAATATTTTTGTTGGAATCTTTTTAGAGGACACCTATTTTAGAGGAAAATCTTTTAATTGAATCCATCTCTCAATCGCAGAGCAGTTAATAAGTTTTTATTGAATTTATTGGTGAAGGATTACTCACGTTGGCTGACAACGCTAATTTTTTACAATAACGCTTTTACACGCGTGCGTAACTTTCCGAATGTAACGGTATTCTGTGCTGACATTCTTTTCAGAGTGACCTGTCAGGCCTAGCTGTTTATCCGCCATGGTCGATTATTTCTGTCAGACTCGAGCATTAGAGTAACTTTTTTGCACAATTATGAACTTTTGAACAATTTAAAAGTTCGAGAAGTTAAAAGAGCGCTTTATAATTTAATTTCACGCGATGTAATGTAAAATATTTTGATAAACTATGAACTAATTCGTTACTACGAGATACAGACGCGCGTATTAAATCACGCGCGGTGCGCGATATTTGCGATATGTGGGCGCCGGTGATATCTGTTGTGTGGGCCATCATGTATATGATGCAACGAAAAATTATGCCGGGAAATCTGAGCCAGGAGACGTCGAAGAATTCAAAGGGTAAATCATTCTAAATTGTATATTCTATTATTTACATATCGGTCGATATTTCCTTTATTATTCTATTGTTTTGAATTTGATTCCCCAGTCGGTTTGCGTTTTCTTCTCGACTGTAATACAAATTGAGAAACGTAAGAAAATTCAATTAATTGCAATTGAATGATGTGTGAAATGGACGAAATTATAAAATAAAAGAAAAATTAAATCACACACACACACACACACACGCATTTAATCTGGTAACGCAAAGTATTCTTTAGCTAAGCTTTAATATTTTTATGGTTTAATTCATTGTTACGTAACGCTATTCAATGCCAATGATTTGATTGATAGTTGATCGCGATCGATTGAATAACTGGAGAATCACGCGTGCTTGGTACAGCAAAGTCGAGAAACGCCTCTTCCGCGGTAATAATGAAATAGCCGTGTGCCTCGCGTGGAACTCGTTGACCGTTTCGTAACGGAGATTTACGAGGTCCCACAATACGTAGAATTCGGCTGCAGTACGAGCATGCGGCGGACGTCGTTATGCGACTTCTGTCTCGATTTCTATGCTTGAATGCAATCTGCGTGATTTAGATGCAAGGTCACGTTAGGCTTGGTGGAATTCGTTACGATACGGGACGTGCCATTCCGAACGTCGAATTAGCGGATTAATTGGAGAACAGTTGGCCGTAGGAATGCACGTTTATTGTTTCGTGCCTTCGATCTGGCACTCACATTGGAAATTCGCCTTTTGTCTATAGCGGCCCTTTTACAGGGATATTAAGGCAAATAATCGAATTTTTTGAAAAGAAAATTATGTGTGTAATATCCGAAATCTGTTAACATTTTGCAGTTAATGCCCTTCGAGTTTGATTTTCTGTTTTATTCGTTGCTCGAGATCTAAGTCAGTATTACGTAAATTAACATTTGGCAGTACTTCAGACCGGCCTAGTGTACGTTTTCGTCGAAGGTCGAGAAATTTCCGTACAATAGATTCAACAGTTTTAGAGTTGAAGCGGAATTCTAGTTTCTAAATTTATTTCTAGTTTTCTCAGTTTTAATAGTCTATTGTTTAAATTTCTATAAAAACGATTTGACGCTATTAATATTTTATTTATTTTCTCCTATGTTATATAAAACAATTTTATAACGATAAATAAAAGAATTTCATTGAAAGATATTTTTACTAATTACGATATATTTTACATTAATATAGTAATACCAAGAATGAATAATTCGCGAATTTGTAGACATTTTTCTAATTTAAGAAATTAATTACGTTACGTTAGAAAATTCTTTAACCGCTTATTACTTGGTTAAAACCAGCATCTTATTTACTTTGATGTAATTTTTTTTTAAATTTTTTATTTATTTATGTAAGTTTTGCTCGCGTGCGGATATATATTTCAAAAGACTTACCATCCTTTTACCATTCTCGGAATGAAAATCAGGAAAACCAAAAGCAGACGAAGTTTAGGTAATGAAGGTGGAAGCTACGAGCGGCGCAGCGTAACCTTCGTTAATTGAATAACGCTGCGCTCGTGCACCTAGAAAAGTACTCTAGACATGCCACCGCTCTCTCTCTTATCCCCTTGCTCATCTTCATCGTCTTCCCATTTCCCGTTCTTGTTCTGCGCGCGTCTCTTCCGTTTCCTCCGTCTTACGCTCGTAACGTAACGAGACGACGAACCGCCGGTACGTCTGGTTAACGGAATACGAATGAGCTCTACTGTCGAGAAATAATCTTCATACGACGTCAAGTCGATTTGCGGTTTGAATATGGACCGGCGAAACGTGGCAGAACGTTAATTAAGAGCGATGAACCGTATTTGTCATGTCTCGTATGTATTATCCTATAGACCTAGATGTCTTCTTGTATATATTTGCATAATTCAGCGGCATTACGGTACTATCCATTTTTGTCTTTAGCGCAGTTTATCGTGGAAGACCGAAGTTTGCTGGTCACGCGAATTTTAGGCAGAATTTCGCGACCAGTTTGACATCGATATGTGCCGGGTCGGATGATGCTTACGGTTACACGCGCCGCTCGTCGCAAGTCCACGAGAGACAGGTCGAACAGCTGACGCCTCCGTGTGTTGCCCGTCTCGTCGGCTACCTTGTCGTCTGTCTCCGAAATTCGCCGCGGGGGTTACCCAGGCGTGACGTAGATGCACGCTATTCTGGTCGGTTCGTGACGTCGTCCTCGGGACATCCAGAAATAAACCCGAGTGGTGCGAGAGATGCTGGCTTCTCTGTCTTCTCGGCTACCTTCTATCCTTTCTCTTCCAACGAGAGAGAGAGAGAGAGAGAGAGAGATGCGATTATTACATATATATGACGGACGAGCACGTCGACGATCTGAGGAAAATTCCGATTTCAATGATGTAACCTGTTGAAAGGCGCTCGCGGAAAATCATCGAAATTAGATCGGAAATCCCAGAACCCTTTGCTTTTCAAAGTTATATCTTCGAGTATTACATCTTCAAAATTACATTTTCCAAGTGGCGAGGTCTATTGACGCACATTTGCCTTATTCCTTCCGGATTGATCGGTGGAGGGAGGAAGGGAGGAGGGGGGAGGGGACCGTGTGGGAACGTAGATTTGTAATGATTTCGTTCGCGTCACGACAAGAAAGATCTCCGGACGATCTTGCCTCAACGTTTTCAAGGCCTTTTATTCCCGCTGTCGTAAAATCGCATTATGCTCCCCAATAGCGGACGGGCGTTGCCGATCGATTCACCCGATTGAGAAAAGGGGGAAAAAGTTCGCTGTAGCGCGATAAATCTTGCTCGTCTATTTTCTCTCAGATACTCTCGTAGTCGTTTTTCTCTTCGTTTCGCGGTTAGTAGTTCGAGATCCAATCGAGCGCTCTCTCACTCTCCCTTTCGTTTTATTTATCATGATAAAAATTCTTCTAGTTTTTTTTTAACTTCGACACAGTAGACCTTTGATCGTTTGATTCTGCGTATAGCGTAAGATAATAAGGCAATGCGCGATAGCCCAGCCTTCGCAGAAAACTTAGGTGAAAAAGTGAATCAGAGTAATCTGCAACACTTCGAACGTTGCTGAAAGTATTATCGATTAAAGATACGCGTGGCAAAGAGCTTCCCCTCCGGGCGACTATTTGATCAAAAGTGTTGAATCTAAAGGACGTTACGGTTGCGGGTGCAAATAAGAAAAATTTAATTAGCACACCGGCTATTCCGCGCGTGGTGCTTTCCTCTCCTCGCTCGTGTAATGAAGTAACGCGGGCGGTCAGCTGGCCACTTGCGGGCGCTGGGAAGAACGGCACGGATAGAACCGGAAAATGGTAGAAGAACGGTGGCCGTTGGTACACGCTACGATTTTGCTTTATTTTCCTTTTTCCTCAAAGCGGATCTCGCTCCGGCGAACGACGGACGCTTTTTCGCGGCCGGTTGCATCAAGCCGACTTCTTTTTCCTCCTCTTTGCCTTTCTTTCGCTATGGTCCCGCCCTTGCCTGCCCCCTGTTCTCTCCGTCTCTCCCTTTATCGCGTTTTACGTTCTCCCCTATCTCTCTGGTACCAGACATAAATATATTTCCGCACGGCAAACGGCGCCTTTAAACTTTGCGACCTGTACTCTGCGCACTTATTCTTCATAGGCTCAGGCGAACTTCTCGTCCAGTAGATAAAACGTAATTTTTTATATGTATACCACACTTACAACAATTGCATGCATTGTAATGGTTGTCACGTCGAAGATGAAAGTAATAGTTGACATGCGTTTGGATGAATTTAATTTGATTTCTTCCTCTAATCTTGTAGCGGACGAATTAAGCATAAGTCACGTATCGAAAATATTTAACTCAAAAATAATTCGATCTCATGTTTAAACATTAGGAGTACCAATGTTATTTTTTTAATTTTTTTTATTTTTGAATAAAATGTGAAATAATTGATAAAACGAAAATTTTTATTGCGTATTTTTAAACATATTTTTCAAATATATAGGTTAATTAGAAACTTGTATGTTATTTTTCTACTGGCTTTTAAAATAATAAGAAAAAGTTGCGAATTTTATGATCAATCAACCAAATTGTCAGTTTTTGAAATTGTGTTTTCTTTTGAAATGATGATATTGTATTTTCTGAAAACAGTTCTGGAAAGAGTCGTTTGTGACGTAACGGCTATGGAGTAATGGCAATTTAAAACGATTTATTTGATGACAACAGGTCGCTCTTTAATAGCATCTCATCATCATAGATTGCACAGCTTATGTAGTCGTAATCAGCTTGTAAAGGGTCTTGACTTTGAACCTGCTTATTTCGAGATTGAACGTTTTGCACATAAATATCCTTTGTGGCGAGTAATTCTTGGAATAAATTCTTAGAATTTATTTTCGTATAAGAAATATGTGTTTTTCATTAATCCTTTTTTTTTTATCTCAAGTATGAAACGTTTATCACTTATATTTTAATTAATCTTTTCTATTTGTTCAAAATTTTGTATTTCTGTTTTTTATATCTATACTTTTATATCTTGAGATATTTTTATATATATACTTTTATATCTATGTTTTGTATCTTAAACTGTAAATGACAAAACTTTTGAAATTTTTTATTAAAGTTTAGTCAACATTACGTCACATAATTTTGAATTATATCTCAAAAATGATATTGATATTGTACGTATAGATTTTTATTTGCTGAATTTCTTTGTTTTTTCGAACGGAGAGCATATTTTTTTATCATTTTTTAATATCACATTCTCCTCTTCAGATATGACGTTTTTTGTTTGCTTCTCTTTTTATTGGCATACAGAGTAGGGCATATGAGTGAAGTTTTCAATCAGATATATGCAGTCACGTATCCCTTTTATTCTCAACAGAATCTATTTTGCAAATGGAATCAAAAGATTATGTACGTACAGTTTTAGAGATCCTTAATTTATTTGCAAAACATTTCTTATACTTTGACTTTTTTATTTCTTAAGTGTTTTTCAAATAGTGGTGCGAAGAATGTCTTTGCATCAAAAATGTTATCTAGATATTTTAGTAGAATTTAAATAGACTTTTAAAATCGCAAAAATAAACTTGTGAAAAAAATTTTTTTCTCTTTTTATGTTTGATTTTTTATGACACAACATGTGTTACTTTTTGTAACTCATATTTGTTGAGATTTCAAATAGTCGATGAATTGCCTTGATGGGGAAGTCTATAAAAAATTTTTTGATTAAATGAAGACAATTCAGATATTATACAAACAATGCAAAATAGCTTCGCAAGTTTAGCAATAATAAATAAGTGAAGATCCGGAATTAATTATTATAAAATTATGGATTTATGAAATTATTTTTATTATAAAATTATGGAATTTAGAAACTAATTAGTTTATTATGAAATGTACAGATAATTTATAGATGATGGAGATCTGCGTGTATAATAAATATTGGATATGGATTAAGGCTGGGATAAATCAAATTTCATGTAGCATTAATTTTTTTATGACTTTCATAATTGTAATTATCTTTTTAATATTGTATATGCACAAAATTTTACATTAGGCATTTTGTATGCACAAAGATTGTTTCACGATTTTTAAAATATTTTATGTATACTTTTACAATATTATATAGGTATATATATATATGTATACATATATATATATATATATATATATATATATATATCTGTATATTGTATAACAGATTGTTTGTACATTATCTCTTTTTCGGCCTTTGACTTCATAATTAATTCATAAAAGCTTTTCTATGTTATAAAAATATATACATCATTAATAATAGCGGAAAAATTGTAGAGTCTGTTGAAGGAATAAAGGTCCGGAAATTAAATTAGTAATAGTTTTTTCAGTATAAATTTGATAAAAATTAGTGATCCGATTTTTTTTCTTTTCGTTCTTTGTTATCACAAAGAAATCGAGAAAAGGTAAGTCGATTACCTACCATCTAACGTCGTTCCTATGTGACGTCATCTTTCAATGGGGTTACCTATGTAACCTTAGAGAACGTAAAAGTGGGTCAGGGATGCAGACCATGCGATATTAAGTCGATGCAGTTTGTAGTTGCACCATCATTATTTGTTCCTTTGTTTTTGTTTTATGAAGGCTTTTAAAACATGAAAGATGAAAGTTTCTGTATTTCTTGAACTTCTTTTCTCCGATATATTTACATCTAAAATGATAATAATTTGCCATTTAATCGATGTTTTAAAAAGAATTATATCATGTCGATTGATAATTGAGAAATTGACGATGAGATTAAATTTAGTTATTTTATAACGAATGAGCAGAATAAAATGCATAAGTGAATATCACTTTGTAAAGAATCTATCTTTTTTATTAGCACATTATGCAAAAGGAATATATATTTATAAATTTGTAAAACTAAACATTAAAGAGTTAAAAATTTAATTGGCTGCATTGCTCAGAATCAGAAGATCTCGACATAAGTGGTCATTTCTAAGAAAAGAATTTACCTGTAAATTCTTCGAAGAGCAATTGCAGATATTAAATATTATTTAATAGCTTTCAAAAGAAACCTCGGTGATTGCATGAGTTCAGATAGCCATTTTATTCCGAAAATATATTTCACTGAACAACCAACCGAATTGTTTTTTATATTTTATTTTATAAGTATATTTTATATTTTATATTTTATAAGTATTTGTTATAGTTTATTTTATTCATTCTTTCTAAATTATGTACTAGTAACAAGGTTATTTTAAATATACATTAAATTAAAACATAGTTTAAAAAATAAATTATTTTTTTTGTAAAATAAACCTGTTCTAATAATCTTGTTATTTTATCCATTATTAAAATAATAACTCTATAATTTGAGCAACGTTCCGATTATTTATATATTGTACAAAAATATTTGATTATACATTTTTGAAATTATTTAATTGTGATACACGCAGATAGTTTTATTTCTAAATAAAACGTTTTTGTTCCAGGTGAGTCTAATCGCTTTGTCGATGAGGAAGTTCCTGTAACTATGGGCTTCACGCGTCGTCCAGCCCGAAAGAAAGCAGGTACAACATTACGTCTCATAAAATATCATTTATCTTGTGTAAAATTTATGTTTATTATTACCAGGATTTGTGAGTGTCCCCGCATAAGTGACCACCCTTTTTCATCTCGCAAACTAACAGAGATAAACCTAACAAATATAATATCAAATTAAATGGTTCGAACTGAATTCTAACTCTACTATGAGTACAGTGATTATTTAAAATTATGTATGTTAGAAAACGGAAAAACATGCGTAACTTTTGCATGGTAAAGTAAATATTTTGATATAGGTAATACAAATTGTAGCGATCTTTTTAACAAATACAACGATGTAACAAAATTATTTTATAAGTAATGCAAGTTTTTTCGGCTTAAAGTTTTGGGGATGATTATTACCTTTTTCGGCGGAGTGGCTATCTTCTGATTCTCGCACTGGCGATTGCCACATATGATATGTTATCTGATGCCCAGTATATATATACTGCTATATACATATATGGGATAAGTATATATATATATATATATATATATATAATATATGAAAATAAATATGTATACAAAAATTTACACAAATTCATAAATTATGAAACGTTTAATAAGATCATAAAATATTTAATAAAATTATGAAACTTAGCATTTTATGACGTGACATTATTCAAAAATAATTTTATAATTTAAAATGTAATCTTTACAATTTGAAAAATAATTTTAAAATTTCGTTATAATTAAAGATATAATAAAATGTTTTATTTTATTGTAAATACATTTATAACAAAATCGTTCAAATTTTCAAATCGCCACTTTGTATTTATTTATTTATCAAAGAAATAAATTATTAATTTATAAGAAGCATTTGATATATTATTTATGTCACGTTATAAATTGTTAATTATTACTTAACTGTTTCATAATTTATTAAATATTTTACAATTTTATGAATTTGTAGATTTTTGTTTTTTTATATTGCTTATATTTAACGTAAAATTATGACACTGAATACTACATATACACTGAATACTATGATTAAATAACATACTAATTGTAAGTTACACGTTAATCACTAGTGCGAAAGTCGGAGGTTGGCAACACCGCAGGGACAAAACTGAAAAAAGTAGTAGTCGCCCGCAAAACTTTAAACCGGAAAACTTTAATTCGAAAATCCGTGTATAATTTGTAAAATAATTTTGTTACATCGTTAAAAAGAACTCTGCAACTTTTGTCATATCGAAATATTAATTTTATACCAATGCAAAAAGTTATGCATGTCTCTTCTTTTTTTAACATAAATAATTTTTCTAAGTGATCACTGTGTGCTTACAATTTACAATAGAATTCAATTTGAAGTATTTAATTTGATATTATATTTGTTAGGTCCACCTTTGTTCAGTTTGCGAGATAGAAAGAGGTAGCCACTTATACGAAGACAGTCTAGCAAGTCTTTTAACTTACTCACACTTTAAAAATGCATAAGTCTATCCGATAAGTAAATAAACGTATGAACGTGGAAGAAATATATCGATATAGCATACTTTCTTCCAGGGTTGTGCATCTACGCGTAAAATATAATATTCTACGTTTACGTGTAGACAACGTAAACTATTGTATAAGTGTCGTCTATGTAGACAGTCAGTAGACTATATATTTATTCATTTAATAAATACAT